AAAAAAAAAAAAAAAACCTGTTCTCAGCACAAGCTAAGAATGTCCTCTTACATAAATGGAGGGAGATGCCTGTTGGTTAAAGCAGAGGTTCTCTGGGACAGAAATGGGGACGGGCACCCCAGTGAACGACCCCCCCAAGGGTTCCCAGCACTGCTGCTCTGTTGGCTTTTTAAATCAAGTTTGTAAGCACACACACCATACTCTAGCCCTGTGTCCTTCCATCTTTTTGAGAGAATGGTGGGGAACAGAATAAATGCTAACAGCTTCCCAAATGATAAATACCAAGATAATGTGGTTGTTGGTAACAGAAAAATAATGTGAGCATTTAGTACAGACATTTTTTTATGAAGCCATCTTTTGACTACATGCTATGTAATTTTGTTTGGAGATTTTACTTAAATCCAGGGAGTAATAATTAGAGATCTGCGTGTGTGTTTATTGACTGAAATGCAATGTTCCTCAAATCACTATGTAGCCCAGTCTGGCCTCAAACTCGCCATTCCCCTGCTTCAGCTTCCCGAGTACTGGGATTACAGGTCAACACCACCACGTGTAGCTCACAGACTAAGAAATATGGTCTTCAAATGTCAAGATTAAGTCATTTTCCAATATACCCGGAATAAACAGTGCTGTCCATGTTACACTTACACACACTCACTTTCCCAACTCTCTAAAACCTTTCAATGATGCCTATATCATTTAAGTCATCAAAAAAAATGACATGAGGGCCTGGAGAGATGGCTCAGAGGTTAAGAGCAACGACTGCTCTTCCAGAGGTCCTGAGTTCAATTCCCAGCACCCACATGGTGGCTCACAACCATCTGTAATGAGATCTGGCACCCTCTTCTGTGTTCATAATAAATAAATAAATAAATTAAAAAAATTAAAAACAAAACAAAAAAAAACATCGCACAAAACAGTTGAATCCTTTAAAAAAAAAAAAAAAAAAAAATGACATGAAGTTTGGAAGACATAGGTGGAATGGGAGGAGGAGTCGGGTAAATATGACCAAAATACATTGTATACATATATGATGTTCTTGACACATTTTTAAAAAGTAAGCCACCACTCAGAGTGGTCAGTGACGAACCAGTGGGGACAAAGAGCACACACTATTCAGTGCTGTACTGACAAGGAGACACCAAATGGATGGCAGCAATGATGAACTGGAGCCTGGACCCCAGACAGAAAACTACAAGTGCCATCAGTGAGCTTCAAAGTCCGGCCATGTTTCTCCTCTCCACCTCTCCCTGGGCTGGCTGTCCACCTCTGTCACTGATCCCCAACTCCTTTGCCAGACAGAAGTGTTCCTGAAATGTGCACACAGCCTCGCTTCAAGCAAAACTGCTCCTGTCTGGACACAACAGGCAATGGGGTTCACAAACGCGATTAAAAAACAAAAACACCCTAAGGAGAACATTCAGGAATGGCAGCTAAGGTACAGCAATTGATTTTCACGGGAACTGGGGAGTTCCTGGAGCAGAGGGGTTTGCCGCATCACTACCTGTCAGTAGTCCCTGCCTGCCCTTGGCCTCTCACAGCCGCACGTGGGCAGTTTCTCCTGGGTTTTCTGCTCACTGGCCTCCCCCTCTCTGGGAATCCCGTTTCAGTTGGCCCTCCTGACCCTTTGCCAAAGGAGAAACTCCAACGGTGATGAACAGAATACTACTTTGAAGTGTCAATATTTAAGAGTGCTTGAGTTACAACAGATAGATACAGAACAGATAGACAGATGGACAGAACACCTTCACCAGGAGGATGCTCACAGCCTGTGCTGCTGCATGGGCCCTCAGACCTCCAAGCTCATCACACACAGATGACTGCACAGCAGGCAAAAATGAAAGGGAGATTAGGATCTATTTGTATCCTCTTTCCAACAAAGTTTAAGTGATGAGAAGAATCAAGTTTGTTGTTGTCCTTGGTTCAGGCATGGATTCTAAATCAGAAAGACATTATTCTTAGGAGTTTAAAATACATTTTCTAGAAAGCTCCCTCCCTTAAGTGTATATAATACCCTGCATTATTTCGAAATGCTTTCATGGATGTCACCACAATTGGTCCTCTCAACAATGCTATGAGGCAGCATGTTCCAGAAGTGAGACAAGTACATCTGCAGGCTTAGAGGGAGGGGCGGGAGCCAGAGGTCTCCTGCCCAGGCCTCTCAGGTCCTCTGGTATTCCAGGGAGAGTTGGAAATAGAGGAAGTGCTCAGGAAAGAGCAATTGTGGTATTGCATTAGCTCCCATCCACCATAGGAAAAATAGCTAGCCAAAGAACCCTGGGCCAGGTCTGTCTCTAACCTCAGGCCCGGCCTTCAGAACTTCTTCCATTTAGAACTTGTAATAGCATCATGCCCTTCAGGCACCTTCTGGGACATCACAGAACTGACTAGATCTGACTTGGACATGTGTACACTTCTCGTCGTCATAAGGTCCAGGTCTGGCTCTCAGATGCAATCATGTTTAACACCATTGCTGAGGACAGATTTGAATATTCTGAGCAAAACGTGATTAGAGCTCATCTTGTAAAGGTCATCAGATGTCCAGCAAGCAAACCTGTCACTCTAGTCTCGCCAGACCTTGGTGACCCACAGTGGGGAAGTGATGGATCTCAGACCTGACCAGGGACACTGCCATTTCAGGGACCCTGCAAACACAGCTGTTTTCTCTGCCATCAACGATGCAGCATTTAGGAATTTAACATTCAAATGCAATCAAGGCTTTGCCCACCTTGAGTAAAAGCCTGCTTCTGAGCAATAAAAAATGCTTTGCCAAGTTGTTCTGCTGGATTTCATTCAGGCCCTGCTAATGCATTCTGTCTGTCGGTAGAGACTTGCTGGGGAGCTGAAGTAATCCTTTTAAAACAGACTACCAGCTGAGTTTTTATGATCGGATTTGTTCTCTGCTAATGCCTTGAGATTAGTTACTGATGACCTGATTTAAACCCTGAAAGTTCAAAAACACTGTTTTACTTAAAAATCTTATAAATGATAGTCTCCCATAAAGCAACAATCTGTGAGGCCCTCCAGAGTGTGCCACCAAGTTTTTCCAGACTCGGTTTTAATTCCCCCTTTTTGTAGGACGCTATACTCACACCCAGCATCCCTCCAGCCAGTGACACTCCAACTCTGGTGGTACACCAGGACCCTCCACAGTGTTTGTTAAGACACAGTTCACAGACACCACTCTAGGGTTTCTGATTTACCAGGTCCTGGGGGAATTTGCCTTTCTGACCAGTCCTGTGCAATGACCGTTCCCAGAACAGAACTTTCACATCCCCTGGCTTTTCTAGAGCTACCTATCATCTCAGTGATCCTGGATTCACCTCAATAATATATATATATATATGGAGGTCAGAGGTCAACTTCATGTATCATTCCTCAGACACCATCTACCTTTACCTTGTTTATTTTGAGACAAGCTCTCACATTGGCCTGGAACTCGACTATTACTCCAGGCTGGCTGGCCAGGGAACTCCAGAGATCCTGTCTCTGCCTCCCTGACACTGGGATTACAAGCATACACTACCACACCGGTTATTTTTAAAGTGGGTTCTGGGGATCAAATTCAGGTCCTCACGTTTGCATGACAGGCCCTTATCACATGAGCTGTGTTCCCCGCCCCTCTTCAGTAACTCCTACCCTGCTGTGGGCCGCAGGAATCTATCATAAGAACTCATCTGGTTATGGCAAAGTCACTACCTGGAGGAATCAGGGAATTCCTCCAGAGGAAGCCAAATCCCAAGGAGTTTTTGGTGTTACTTGGCTTGTTATATATCAGCTGTATTCAGTTATGAAAATCATGTGTGTCTTCATAGTTTTCCCAATTGATTTTTCCCTAAGAAGGGCTAACAATGTGGACTGATCACTCTCTAGACATACACATTCCAGGCATTTGGAGAATAGCCTCAGGAAAGGCTTTCTCTGGAATCAGATATCTCCCCTAGCCACTTTCAAGGACTAAAGGAGACATCACCCAGGTGGTCACCCAATTTCCGAGGACTAACAGTGATAACAACCCACAGGCGAGTCTCCTGACTTAAGGTAAATTCCACAAGGGGACACCGCCTAGGTCAGGTAGACATTAAGTAATAGCTTTACACAATTTAGCTCAGACCCCTCCTTTCTTACAGCCTTACTAACTTTATAGACCTCTAACTACTTACCTAACCACTTCTAGGAATATTTAGATAAACTTCTGCGCTAACAGCTATGCTCAGCCAGAACTCCCAGTTCAAGCCTCCCTGTTATTATCATCATTGGCAGCATCCGGCCAGGTGCATCCCCAGACAGAGGAAGTACCTTATCAGAGATACCTCTGTACTCTCTAAGAACAGACTTAAGCATCCAGGCTATCTGTTTGAGAAGGCCTGGTGGATGTGCTAATTAAGCTTAACTTCCTCCTTTCCCAAATCTTACCTCCAGTTCCAGATCTCCCTTTAACTATCACCAGAGGCATCTACCTGTACACAGGTTGCCTAAAGACTGAGCACACTTTCCCCCACCCTACAGAAAAAAACGGCAGACAGCTTGGACAGATAGGAGCCACAGGAAAAAAGAAGACAGTTTTATTTTCTCCCATTGACCTAGCAACTTAAAGATTTTTAACATCCTTTACCAAACACATTTAAGATTATAGTTGTGCACATAAGATCCCTCTTCTTAGATATTACCCATATTTAGCCTTTAGTTAATTCATTAGTCACTTCCCCTTTGGGTCCCAAATGGTAATTAACAACTAGTGCCCCTCTTTGTAATTCTTATCAACCCTCCATTTGATCCTGATAGCAGACAATCACTGCCTGAGGAAGTTCAGGCTGAGTGTCCTAGGTGGAGGGGAGGATTGTGATTTTGGGGAGATATATAACTGTAAAGCAGAGGACAGAGGAGAGAAAAGAGAATGGAAGAACTAGATGGGTAAGAACTTGAGAGGAACGAACTGAGATGGGGAAGAACTAGATTGAAGGGCTAGAAGAGAGGACAAGAGGAATGAGATGGAAGATGAGGAAGAGCCAGATGGGGAAAAACAAGATGAGGAAGAGCCAGATGAGAGAGAAGGAGACGGGAGAGGAGCTGATAGGGGAAAGAACTAGAGAGATGAGAACCTAGAAGGGACAGAACTAGATGAAGGAATTAAGATAGAACCTAGAGGGGACAGTAGATAAATATAGAGAAATCAGGCAAGGAAGGAGCTAGGCATGAGAGCAGAATAGAAGCTGTGTAGAGAGAGAACTATCACAGAATAATAATAAAGCGTATGAACTAAGGAGTTTCGTGTACATAGATTCATTTCTTCTCATCAAAGATTAATTATCAGCTGGTTGTAGATTCTTCCCGGACCCTGGGAGGGGACTGTCGAGGGGCTGGACTCCCATAGTCCCCGATACTACCCCAGTCATGTCTACACCAGAGGTAGACAGGGGAAGCCCAGGCCTCCCTCTCGCCCTGCCCTTCCTTCCGCTGCTCCCTATTTTCCACTAAGGAAGGAGAAGTGCACTCACCAGCGCACAGGCTGATCCTCTGACACTTCACCTGCTGGCCACGCCCTCTTAGAGCCCAGCTCCTCAGGCCAGGCCCACCTGCTTCTGCTCCCAAAGCTTTCCCCTCTTCCATCCCCACCCTCCAGAAAGCGGAGCTCTGTGTCTAGACACCAGCCCACTTGAGAGAAGATGATAGAACCAACACATCTCTACAGGAAGTTAATTTACAGTCCTGGCCTGTCCCTGCCTTGTCCATGGTGGTTACAGAGGAGAGGGGCATGGGCTTTCCCGCAGGGATCTTAGTTCTGTGGGCCCCCTTTACACACCCTGAAGCTTGTGTTAGCGTGGGTCTCACTGGAGGAGTGCATTCAGGATTTAGGGGTTGGGTTCAGCACAGAGGAGGAAAGACAATGACTGGGACTAGCCTGGTGCTTCTGGAGTGCTGCAGGAGGATTCCGGACAGAACCGCATGTTCCCAAGGAACAGTCACTTTCCTTCACGGAAGCAGGGGTTCCCACGGCAGGCGGAGAGGGGGATAAGGCAGAACTGGGGGCGGCTGAACCTGCTGCCCAATCACCAGACTCAGACCATCTGAAGAGCACTCAGACTCCCACCCTCCAACAGCAGCATCCTCAGAGCTTCCCCACTTTCCTGGAGGATGGCTCTGCCATCTTGTGCTGAGCCCTGACATCTATCTGCTTCATGCTGTCCTCACAACCGAAGCTCACAGCCTGGACAGTCACAGTGTAATGTTACTGAAGAAAAGGCTGAAAACTATATCCAAGTGTTTTATATTTGAAAAAAGAGTTGTTTTCAATAACAAGGGTCCCTTAAGAGAGCTAACAACAATGAGTGGCCCAGGAGACCAAAGTTCAGCCATGAGCCCAAAGAGCTTTAATACTTGCACAATTTTCCAACATTCTCATTATTGTTTCCAGGAACACATTCATAACACACTAAAAAACTTTTCATAATGAAACAATATTAACTTTAGGAGATAACACCAAAAAAAATTAAATTGGCTCTCTTAATAATTTTCTTCCTTAGAGGCACTGTCCTGACTTCATTTACATCATCAAAGTAAAGCAAAACATTAACACTGCAGAGGAAACTTCTTTAACGAGGACAAACAATGGAAGCTCACCTTAAAACTAGTTGTAACATCACATCTTCACAGTGTAAACCGATGAGAGTTCTGAACAGCGCCAGGGACACCACACAGAGCTGGGGGACCAATAAACACAGCGCGGCTTCAGATGTCAGGCTGATAACTCCACCCCAGGCAGGTGACAAATAAATCAGAATTACATAACAAAATGGCCTCTCCATCCCTAGCAGTTTTCATAAAATGCACATTGCTGCCAGGAAAAATGTATTCCGAATACCAGTTCCCCCAGGGGAAGAGTTGGCTAGAAACCTAACGGCTGCCTGGGAAATACTCATGCTCATATTGTGAATCAAAGACCCAGCCAGATAATACAAATGTGCCCCTTCAACTCCTGACATACATATGGACTTCTTACCTCCTCTTCGGACAATTTGTTTTTCTAAGTTGTCTTCAAATGTGACACTTGGTTATTTACAAGAGAGGGCCCACGGGAGAGCACTCAAAACCTGGCCAGCTCTCTTTAGAATGTGCAGCTTAAGCCTCAGTTTCTCTCTTGGTGTTGGGGCAAATTTTTCTCTTTGGTTCCATTTCCTATAGTGCTTGCTCCAAGTGTGAGGATTTGCCTCCTTAAGGAGTTCACTCAAAAAGAATAATGAAATTTTTAACAAACACATGAATTCTTTCAACCTCTAATTTCTACAAAGGAATGATGAACTACCAAGCAGGGGAGACACCCAATTACAAAAGTCACGGTAGCTTCTGGGTCCCAAGCTGCTCTCAATCTCCCAGGCCATTTAAGTGATTCAGCCTCCCATTCTTTGGAGAGGAGAGTAAATGCTAGTTTGGCTTCCAGCCAGGATAAACTTAAAACCAACAATAGTATTGTAAAGACATAGCTGGATTTGACTGGCTCCAAACACGCCTTTGCTCAGGATGGTGACAGGCCTGTAGTTAGTCAGAAGCAACACACTGTCCCATTCCAAGTCACGGCACATGCTACACCCTTACCTAGAACGTCTTTCCTGCCTCCTCTGAACCTTTCTGTTCTCTCTCACAATACATCCACCCAACACTTCCTTTTCTCAAATAGATATCCTGCTTATCTATTGCCGTGGCAACCCCTGCCAATCACTGGCAAGGTGCTTGGCAAGGTGCGTTTCTTTTACTGAGTTGTAAGAGTCTTTTAGTCTACGTACAAGTATTTTAAATGATCTAAACATTTCCAACCATTCTGTGAACTGCCTTTTCAATTTTTAAAAATTTTGTTTACTGCTGGGCAGTGGCACATGCCTTAATCCCAGCACTCGGGAGGCAGAGGCAGAGGCAGAGGCAGAGGCAGGCAGATCTCTGAGTTCAAGACTAGCCTGGTCTACAGAGCGAGTTCCAGGAAAGCTGGGACTACACAGAGAAACCCTGTCTCGAAAAACCAAATAAATAAGTAAGTTAAAAAATTGTGTTACTTCTTTATTCTTTGAAACTATTATCATATATGTGTACATGATGTGTGTGCTCACACATATCCCTGTGCATGTGTGGAGGTCACAGGATAGCTTGAGAGTCGGTCCTCTCATTCCAACTTAATGTGAGTTCCGTGGATTGCACTCAGGTCACCAGCTCTGCACAGAGAGAGCCTTTACCCACTGAGGCATCTCACTAGGCCTTAATTTATATTTATTTTTGACATAGGGTCTTGGCTATGTAACCTAGACTAGATTCCAACTTGTGAAACTCCTGTCTCAGTTTCCAGAATGCTAGGCTCACAGGAAAACACTACCCACAAAACTTGGTTTTCATTTCTTAGATCCTTAAAACACTAAAGCTCTTCATGTTGAATATGCCCAGTTTGTCTAATATTTTTTTTGTTGCTCATGTTTTTGGTGTCATATCTTAGAAACAATTGCCAAGACTACAAAGGTTTTTCTCATTTTCTTTAAACTTTAAGTCCTTGATTCATTTTGAGTTAACGTTTGTTTATCGTGTGAGGTAGGAATAAGTCTTCTAACCTATGAACATAGAAATGCTTTTCATATATATGTGTATGTGTGTGTTATTTTTGTTGTAAATATGACTGATATCTTAATCTGATTTTTAGATTGCTCGCTGTGAAGGTTAGTGTTATTGCCAATGTGACAGACCCTAAAATCACCTGGGAGGTCGACCTCTGGGCATGCCTGTGGGGGATTATCTTAGCAACCTTGATTGATGTTGGAAAGCCCATTTTAATTGTGGGCCACACGAAAGTGAAGCTAGCCCCAACATGCACACAGTCATCCTTCTGTGTCCCTGACCATGTGATGTGACCGGCCATTTCAGCTCCCGCTGCCTTGAGGTCCCTACCACGAAGAACTCTCCTCTGACATAAAGCAAACACTGCCTCCTTTAAGGAGCTGTCTCTGTCAGAAAAGTTTATCCTAGCAAGAGGAAAAGCAGCGTTAAGACACTCACTTTGTCTAACAATAAAGCTGATTTTGTACATGCAATTGTATTTTTGCAGCCTCGCCGACCTCATAGCCCTTAGGGTTTTGTTTTTTGTGGGTTTTTTTTTTTTGCATATAAGATCATGCCATCTAAAAAGCAGGCAGCTTTAATTATCTGGGTCTTTATTTGCTTAATTATATAAACAGAAGCACTGCTTAAATAATTAACAAGCACACTCTTACCTTACCCCTTTCTTAAGGGAATGCTTTCTCCACTGTTAGGTTTTAGCTCAGAGCTCATAGATAACCTGGCTCAGCTTAAGGAAGTCCCCCACTATTCATGGTCTGCTGTGTCTAAAAACCATCATTGTCCTCTGTTCTTGTAAGCTTGATTATTGTTTTTCTATCTACCTCAGACAAATACAATCAAAGAGTTCATGCTTTTGTTACTGGCTATAATATCTTTTTGATACTTAGTGCTATATCTTCAAGGTTCATCCATGTGGTAACATCTCAAAATAACTTATCCTTTCCCTTGTAATTTCTTGATCTTCTAGGTATTTATGAGTATATTGTTTACAGTATGTATATATATCTACCTACCTGTGGATTTCTCAAATTTCTGTCAATGATGTTTTTAATTTAAACTCACTGTAATCAGACAATATACACAATTTCAATCCTTTTACATCCATTGAGCCTTGTTGTTGATTTGGCTTGTGGTCTGCCTTGGAGAAGGCTGAATGTGGACCTTGCTCCTAACAGGTGAAATGTTAAATGAGATTTTTTTTTTTCCTAGTATACCACTTAAATTTCTGTAGATGAATTTCTAAACAGTATTATTAAATAAGAAACACAGAGCCAAATACAGGGGTGAAAGCCGTAGAGATCAGAGAAATAGTGAGAGCCACCAGCTAGCCTTAGCTCACCACGCCACCGTAGCTTCCCAAGAGAGCTTCTTCCTGTCTAACCTGCACTTTTATTGCCTTGCTGTTCTGCCTTCTCATTGGCTGTTAGCCCAGCTACCTCACTTCCTTGTTACTGCCTGTCTGTACAGACCTCCAGGTCTCTATGGTTGGTACTGGGATTAAAGGCGTGTGTCACCACACTTGGTTGTTCCCTAGTGTGTCCTTGAACACACAGAGACTCTGCTTGCCATGTGATTGGATTAAGGGTGTGTGCTACCACTGCCTGACTTTTGTTTATGGTTAGCTATACCCTCTGATCTCCAGGCAAACTTTATTTATTAACATACAAATAAAATATCACCACAAATTTTCTTAATTTTATTCACAGTTTTTATTTATTTATTTATTTATTTATTTATTTATTTATTTATTTATTTATTTAATTGAGACAGGGCCCTGCTATGTATCCCAAGCTAGCCACAGGTTTCCAAACTTTCTGCCTCAGCCTCCTAAGTGCTAGTTTACAGACCTGTGCTACCGTGCCTGCCTCCTGGCTATGAATACATATAATATAATACATACAATATAATATATTTTTTCCTTAGTAGTTGCTTTTGTTCTTTCAATAAACTTATCAGACTCTACTTTGGATTTAAACTAAGTTAATTCAAACAAAATACAGAAACAGTAGTCCTATATAGTTCTGTTCTCTCCTCTCCTCTCTGTGCTATTTTTAAACATGTAACACACATACACTATAAACTCAAAGATAGACTGTTAGATTTTTATCTTTCGCTTTTAAAACAGTTGCTGACATTAAACAGATACAGTCTTTGAGGAGGGGCTGCATTGGGTGACACTCTTACTACTTAATGACTCTTCCAAGTTGAGGGGGGCTCCAAATGAAAACCTGACCCCACAGTTTCCCAGACTTTCACTCCAAAACAGCATGGACAGAGATTTGCTACCTCAGGCCTGGTTACTCCAGTTCCTTGGCTTTCGCTGCGCCTAAGTCTTTATGTTCTCAGAATTTTGTTCCTTCGGAAGTGCACTTTGCCAGTCCCACAGAAGGAAGCATCAACACAGACAAATTGAGAAAATTGGGGTGGGGGGGGCTCAGTGCCACCTCCCTAACAAAGGGACACCTGACAGGGGAAAAGAGTTATCAAATTATCTCTACTCAAAGAGAAAGAGGACAACAGCTGCAGCAAAGTGGAAAAGCGGGGAGGGATGGAGGGAAATATTCATAATTTCATTCCCCCAACAATTCCTTTGTGGAATCTGAGTTGAATGCATCCTTCCTCGGAAGCTCTCCTTACCCGAAAAGGGGTGTTGATCCGGCTGGTGAGAGTGTCCAGAATGTGGACATTTTCATGTTGGTGCAGGAGGATGAAGCGGAGGAAGATCTCCAGAAGTGCTGGTTCAGAGATGCTTCGCAGGAAAAGGTCCAGGTATGCAGTTGTGGTCATGACCTCCTCCACCGTCACCTGGAACCAATGGCAGTGAGCACAGAAAGTCACCTTCCCGAGCCTGCCAGAGACTCACCCCAACAACCCCCCCCCTCAACACAGGGACACCGCCATGAAAACCTTGAGCGCTTAGCTGAAGCCGACAACATGTCCAGTGCACACAACACCTGCCCTGTAGCTCAGTGGGGAAACGCAAAGACAGCGAAGGCACCCACATGCTCTGACAGTTCCAGTCAAATGCAGTTTAAACCCTATAAAAGTTTTAGTGCATACTCAAAATGGGATGAAAGATTATGAAAAGTATTTATATGCTTAATAAAGGAATAATTAGAAAGTTTGGTATAATTTGTCTCATTATTAGTCATTCAATAAACATTTACTGGGATCCTCCACATACAAGGAGCAGTAAACTTGAGAACATGCTTTATGTTCAGGAAATTGAGCTATAGCAAATTAAATGATCATGTAATAAATTGCAGAAGAGAGGTGCAGACATGGAGTGCTACAGATGTTCTCTCAGATGTGTTTCTGGAAAGCAGCAAGCCGATATTTTTATAAATGAGTACCACACATAAAACATTATTTATAAAGTGCTGTAAGAACTTATTGCTTAATAAAGTAATGGTGACTTTTTTATAACACAAATTTAGATTTTTTTCTACCTATATACTTTTCCTATTCAGAAAAAAAAAAAAAGTCAGTCTTTCAGTGACTCAGACTGGAGTTAGGTTTCTCACAGAGCTGAGGAGGAGAGGCTTACAGTGGAGGCCAGAGGTCAAAGTCAGGTGTATCTCTTGACCACTCTAAACCTTATGGGGTTTTTGGCGGGGCAGGGGATATCTTACCGATCCTGGAGGTCACTCATTCCACTAGTATGGCCAATGGCCCCTCAGGGATCTGCCTGTGTCTGCTACCCTCGCCATGGAGTTGCAGAAACACACTGTTACCTAGCATTTCTTCATGGATGGTAGGGATCTGAACCTGGGTCCTCAGGCTTGTGTGGGAGGCACTTCACTGACTGAGGCATGTCCTCAGCCCCTCGACCTTAAACATGTTGATTCTAAGAGCTACTGTGTGCTCCCTGTTCTCCTAGAAGCAGAATGTAGCAGCTGATCTTTCTATCTAGAGGTTATCACCAAACTGTTAATGTCTCTGCTGGGCACAGAAACGTCCGCCTTGGATGCACTGAAGTCACCAAATGCACAGTTCCAGCTCCGGAGTTCCAACACCACTCACTGCAAACACCCACCCCACCCCATGTACTTGGTTCTCAATGAAGCAGATGGCAGTGCTCTGTGAATGAGTGTGTCTCCTCTTTTCCATTTCTCCCTCCCTTTCCAAGTGCTCACTGTCACTTTAATCGTACCATTACCAGGGCCATTCTTTTTATACGACATTCCTCTTCTCCTTTTAATTTTCAGCTTTAAAAACCCACAGATCACTTTAGAAACCAGATGTCCAGGGCTTCGAGATGGGTGTAGATAGGCCATGAATGGCTGCATCTGTGAATAAAGGCTTGACGCTATCTATTTTGGTGGTTTGAATTACTTTTTATAAGTTCTTGGTGCTCAGCTGTGTTCTGGATAGATGAGTCCAGGTGGGTAAAATATCACAAAATCAGCTGTCTCCTTTCTTCACTCTAATACATAATGGACCTTATGGTAATAAAGCCCAAATGAATTCACTCTTTCAGAACCCACTGAAACCCCCACAATGGTGTTCTGAGTGACAGGGCACATCACTGGAGTGCAAGCACCCTCGTCCAGCGTGGCAGCAACAGTGTGAGCACAGAAGCATTCAGGCCGCATGAAGTCGTCCATCCACTTTAAAGGGCTCTCTGTAGCCCAAATACAGTAAAGGAAGCGGAAGCAGTGAATATCAACCCTGGGCAAATAAGTCAGACTGAGAAAAGTGCATCTCACCACTGTCCTGCTTCTGCAGCTAGCTGCTCCAGCCTGGGGCTTTCTGTAGCTCTCTGTGGGACTTGCAGGGGACATGTCTAAAGCTGTCCTGAGGTCCATACCTAACCATCCTACTACAGTACACCAAGGTGTGCACACAGAGGACTTCCTTGTAGGTGAATGGCAGCTATTCCTCAAAGATCCAGCAATTGATATCTGCCAGAGTTAAACATAACTTAATTCTCCCATATACTCCATGCCGCATAATATACCACCATATACTCAGCACATAAGTATGGAATTACTATATGTTTGGATTGTATTACATTAGAATGCTTGCTTGTAAACACTTGCTGTTTGAGTTGTTAACTTGAGTTTCACGGGGGAAAAAAGTTAAATTAATTTTTAATTAGGCTTAGGTCAGGATTTCCAGCAATTTCTGAAATGACCCTAAACTGTACTACTAACTTCGCAGTAGGTATTTGTGTGACTTGATGGTCTCAAAACTGACAATTATAAAATCTAAGCATCAATCAATTATAAACCACTGAAAAGGTTCCACATCCTACAGCATTAAATATTCAGTCAAGAATTAATTTTTTATGGGAAAATAAATAGGCACATTTGTCACTAGGTAACTTGGATTTCATCTTAATAAATGGCAAAATTGTATGTGCTACAAATAATTGTTTTACATAAGTTCATGATTTATTAATATAAACATATAATCTGTATACCTATTTTATATACCTACTGTGGTAAAACGTGTAAAGTCCCCTCATAGACTCATGGGTTGGACACTTGATCTCTATCTGGTAGTGCTGCTCAGGAGGCAGCGCCTCACTGGAGGTGTCATTGATGGAGACCATGAACCCAGCCCTGACTCCTGCCCTCTCTGTGTCCTTTCTGCTGACACTGTGTGACTGATTCCTCTGCTGCCGCCCCTTCCCCACCATGGTGGATTGTCCCTTCCTAGACTACAAGCCAAAGGAAACCCTTCTTTCCTCTGGTTGCTTCCTGCTGGATGGTTAGGGCAATGAGAAAAGTAAGGAATACATCTGTATACCTAGCGTCAGCTAAAACGGCCCAGGCAAAGGAATTCCAACCAGACAAACACCTAAGAAGCCTTGTTCAACATGTGTCCTGGAGGCTCTTCCACCTGTCCTTTCTCATTGTTCTCTCTCTCTCTCTCTCTCTCTCTCTCTCTCTCTCTCTCTCTCTGTGTGTGTGTGTGTGTGTGTGTGTGCATGCATGTGCACACATGTGCTCTGTATATAAAATGTTACTCAAGCCTCCTCCCCATCCACTGTGCTACACTCTCGACCCTTAGCTTTTGACACAGGCCTCCCTGTGTAGGCCAGGCTAAACTCTAACTAATAATACTCCTGCCTCAGTCTCCAAAGCATTAAGATCACAGGTGTGTGCTACCACATCTGGGGGTAGGTACATTTTTAGTGAAGATCTCCAAAATAATTAATGCCATTCAACACAGCTAAACAGGAAATGATGCTCAACCACAAACACGGAGTTCAACTATTCACATCTACTTGACTGCAACATTGGGATCGCTTGATGGAACCCTCAACCAAAATGATCAAGACAAAAAAATATAAATAGAAAAAAAGCAGAGAAATGAAATCATTCCAAACGGGCTGACAGTTAGCTCCTCTGATACTAAGTCTCTAACTTTACCAGCACTGCTGAACTGACATGTCCCGAGACTCCCAGAAGCTCCTTTACCGCAGGAGCGCTACATCAGCTATCCCCACTGGGTCACATGTGACCTTAATAAGCTCAAAAAAGCCCAGCAATCAACTAGCTGGAATCCAAGTCCGTCCTCGGGGGCCAACATGAAAGGGGGGTGTTGAGTAGCTATTGTTTACTACTCTTAGGCTGGATAAATGAAAAGATTTTATTTCTTTTTAGAAATCAAAGCTGTCATTAATAAGCTAAGAGGATTTAAGGAAGCACTTGGGGGACAGCATTTACATAACATGTTATAAATATTAAAAACCCAATCCCATTAAATATCAAGTTGCAAACTCTTTATAGATTGAGGTCACACTTACCTTAAACTAATACCCCAACCCGGAAACCCAGTGGTCCTCTCCTTCTACCTCTTGCCCGCACTGTATCCTTCAAAGCCTTTTATCCCAGAAAAGCTTTTCTGCCCCATTATCGTACACTCAGAAACTTCTCCTAATCCTCCCAAATAGGCAACGTCCTTAATGAGGCTAAGACTGAGAGCCTAAGTGTGATCACTTGAAAGCTAACGATAACCACAGAGGAAAGACACTCAGCCTGAGGAATGCAAAATGGAGCCTTCTGCTAGGATTCCAGAGCAGCATTAACAAAACACAGAAGTCGCAAACTAACTAGTCGATGATGAAGGACAACGAGCTGTAGCATGAGGACCTTTTGTCTCATAAGACTGTCAGTGTCTACCTTGTTCTATACAGGATGGCAGGCAGCTACCAACTTACACAAAACTAGCCAGCTATACAAATTAACTTGTCACTCAAATTAACAATGTCTATACACGACACGCTGCAGCTTGAGAATGTTATTTCATATTAAAAGGCAGGCCATAATGAATGAAGGAGCATAGTGAAAACTCAAATTCCACCCACTCCCACAATCATCCTTGATAGGATAAAGACAGCCGTGACCTGAAGAATCAACACACCTGCTGCCTAGGCACTGCCTTTGCTTGCTCCCCAGCCCACGTGCTAGGACGGAGGCCTTCCTTGGGGACTTGGTTTTAATACTGTCAGTCCCATTTGGTCCATTCGCTGAAGCGAATCTTTCTTTACCCACTTTCTCCAGCTTCCCTTAGCCCTTGCTTGGTTCTTTCTTCATGCCAACAGCCTCTGCCAGCCCCTTAAAGTTGTGTTTTCTAAAAAACATAGCTTGAGACTGGGTGAATGAATTCAATTTGCTGGTTCACTAATGGTTTAGACCATTTTCAAATAGAAAATGTAGTAAGTGCGAGTACTGTTCTGGGGAACTTAGGCATATATATTTTGTTAGAAATACAGACAAATTGCACTGTGTGCAGGCGCTTCACTGGTGTGCCCAGGAAATGTGATATGCCAGTGTTCAAAGCCCTGAGTGTGA